AGTCAACCAGGAACGTTTCTACATTATCTTCAAATTTCACAAATGCTGTTAATAATTCTACGAGTACTCAGAGCTTCAATGTTAGCCGAAGCCATTTTTAGTTTAGTCATATGAGATGTTGTATATTTGTAGTTGGATTGTTTTTTTCAAAGTTTGTGACACATCAAATGTCAAATTTGGTTCTGTGTCCCTACGATTTAACTAGACTGGGGACGAAGGGATGTTGTTTATCGAACAGTGATCTCTGTGGAAGGTGAAAGAGAAATGTTCAATTTTAACTTGTTTTTTTTTTCTTTCAGTAATATTATTTTCTCTACTTTCTGTCAGTTGACAACCTTTACTGAAGTATTTAAAATATTTCACAAGGATTGTCGACATGTCGACTTTATTTACAAATAGACTGCATAATAACTGTAATGTTACTCAAATCAAAGTGTAGTGCACATAACAGATAGCTGACAAAAATCTTAACACTTGGTGATACACGCTCCAAATTTGGTACAGAGGTTCCTCAGGGCCCACTCTTTCAGCAGCAAGGTCGCTATCCAGGCAATCAGGGTTTAAAGTTTGTTTTAACTTGATTTTTGGGAAAATATAAAATTGATTTCAGATATACATATATGTAGGAGGAAAGGATCTCCGAGTAGATAAACCTAGGCGCAGTGTGACATCTATTCTATCAAACTGGAATCGTCACTTTAATACAAAATTACAGCTATTTACTTGTACTATCAACAATAGTCTACACAATACCCAATAATAATACAGAGTGGAAAGCCTTAAACTAATTCTAAATCCATAATCCAAACATCGGTAATCCTGGCTTTAAATCTTCTGTCAACCTCGCTTAATTCAAAGGACAGACACAAAGCATATTTGTCAATATATTTTTTTTAACCTAAAGCTGGGTAGTCCGAAACTTCTGACTTGATAACTGTCAACTAAATCAAGGTCAAGTTCAGAATCAAGAAGTTTCTAACAAAGTTTGAAATCAGTCAATCTGGTGAAAAAACAGAGGCTAGGTTAGAGACAGCAAGTTTCTAGCTAGCTTGCAACTGTCAACAATCAGTATCAAGATTAAGAAAGTTTCTAGCTAGCTTACAAACTGTCAACAATATCTATCAGAGGCTAGGTAAGAGTCAGCAAGTTTCTAACTAGCTTACAACTGTCACCAATCATTATCAAGATTAAGAAAGTATCTAACTAGCTGACATCTGTCAATAATATCTATCAGAGGCTAGGTAAGAGTCAGCAAGTTTCTAGCTAGCTTGCAATTATCAACAATATCTATCACAGGCTAGACAAGAGTCAAGGTAGCTGAAAACTATTAATATCAAGATTAAGAAAGTTTCTAGCTAGCTTGCAACTGGCAACAATCAATATCAAGAGTCAGAAAGTTTCTAGCTAGTTGACAACTGAACACATATAAAGGCTATTTAAGAGTAGACTACAGTCAGTATGTTTCGGACTATACGAGAAAACAAGGATGGATAAAAACGAAGATCAAACGAGGATATTAAAGCTATGAGGACATGTTGATAATAAAAGGTATTTTTTGAAAGGTTAAGATTGTCTATGATTATCGTGTTGAACGTGTAGAAGTCGTTTTGACCTGGTATTGTTTAGGGTCAGAGTATATAGTATCGACAATCACTCGCTCGCTCTCTCTCTCTTGTGATGGATATTGCCTTGAGATTGCCTGTGGATGGATAATGAATCGTATTTGGGAATTGAACTGATGAGAGTGTTGTCGTTTTGAAGTTTAAAAACACTGGCCTGGGTAAAAAAGTAAAGATTTATGATAAAACAAAGAACAATGATTTAATTATTAGTTTGTCAGTGGTTTGATTATGAATCGGATTTGGAATTTGAATTGGTTTGAATATTGTCGTGTTGAATATTGTCGTGTTGAATATTGTCGTGTTGAATATTGTCGTGTTGAATATTGTCGTGTTTGAATATTGTCGTGTTGAATATTGTCGTGTTGAATATTGTCGTGTTTGAATATTGTCGTGTTGAATATTGTCGTGTTGAATATTGTCGTGTTAAATATTGTCGTGTTGAATATTGTGTCCAGGTTGTGTCTGTAAATGGATTATGAATATGATTTGTGATTTTCTATTTAGTGATTAAGATGGATTTAAACTGTAAACAGGTACGTTTTTTCGGATTGTTCGGCTTTAACGTATACTTTATTTTCATCAAATAAGCAGACTCGTAGCTTCAGGGGGGCAAGGGAAATAATGTAATGTCCACTCAAAACATTCTGACAACCGACCAATTCCATTACAGCAACCAATACACTAATGCATTGCCCCTCTGGATATATTACTCCCTCCTCCAAGTCTGGCTACGGGCTGCAAACAAATAGACAACGAGCCTGGATCCCTCCTAGGACTTACCACTCATCCAATTTCAATGTCACGTGACTTCAATTTTAGAAAGTCCACGAAGCAAATAATATTTATTATATTTTTATTTTGTTCTACATTTTACACTTCCTTATAAGAATTTTCCATGAGAACGGGACATGAGTTTTTACAGTCACTGTCATGTGAAATTAAAACAGTTTCCTAGTCATGGGAAATTTATTTCCGGTCGTATCGTGTGAATTATTTCAATACATGGATACACTGTGATGTAAAATCTCCGGGGACTAGTGATGTACTGGAAATGTTCTGGACATGACATGTGGTCTATTGTTGACTGTTGTTAAAGGGATGTGGTCGTCTAGAGGTATTACTTGTCAAATTGGTAACCCTGCGGACTGTTCGTCTAAAATTAACTGTATGTAAGAGTATATGTAAAATTATTATGTATTTTGAAATATCTATATAAGAATCTTAAAGCGAGTTCGAACTGTTGAGTTATAAATGAAATTGAAGTTCGGACTGAGATTATAAATAAATCAAAAATACGACCATTTCCTTCGATGAGAATTAAAATCATCAAGTTCCCATTCTACATCTACCACCCCCCAGGGCATAACTTTATACGACTTTATCCCTTGGAATTCCCCAAGGGTGGAATCTGAGTTATTTAAATCCTCGGTGACCCCTTGTCAGGACAATACCGGATGTCTGATAACCGGGTGGTCAGAGGTGACGAGATCTGACAGTGATTAGTCATTCTGAGTTGTCAAGTTTAAAAGAAAAGTTAGTTATAATTAATTTGAACCTGTCAACCGACTGTTTGTACAATATGGACTAACAACAATACAAGCTATGGCTATTTTTATTCCACCTTCATAGACTGTATAGTTTCATTGTCACCAAACTTTCATATCAGCCAGAAACTTTGACCTTATCTACAGACTCCCACAGTTGAAATAGAAAGCGTCTAGTCATTCGAATGGGACTGAACATCGTATGTGTTACAGACAGGTTAAAATTCCTCTCCTGACAAAATGCCTGTCATTTCACACTGCATGGTGTTGCCTATCTTCATTAACATGGTTTATTGTCCCATCCAGATTAGACTTTGAACTTTGAAGGCATTGTAAAAGGAGTTTGACTGCATGAACAGAAAAAGCTGTTACGATGCCATTATCCTATATGATGCATTTAGGGACAATTTTTGATCAAAATTTAATAAATCCAAACCACGAATGATATTGTCGATATATTTAGTGCTTATACTTAATGTAAACAATCAACATTATCTTATCATCGTCCCTAGCCAGGTCATGTGATTTCTATGTAAATATATGTATTTGATATTTAATACAGGGGCGGTAAGATTTGGTATTGGGAACCTTTCACTTAAGGGGCACTGGGACAATTTAATAAGATAAACTGTCACTGTATTAATTTGCTAGCTTTTTATACAAGATACTTTGTTATGCTCTAGTCATTGTACGTGTTAGCTAGTCTCATTCTGACTGCAGAAAACTGCCATTGTACCAAACAATCTGTTAGCTAGTCTCATTCTGACTGCAGAAAACTGTCATTGTACCACACAATCTGCTAGGTAGTTAGATATGATAGTTATATGATGGTATACTCTCATTCTGAGAACTGTCCTTGTACCAAACAATCCGACAAACATCTGTTCTGAATCCTCCTGGTGATTGTGTTCGATTCCTCCTCAAGATTCTTCTGATTCTACAAGCAGACCCTTTGGGACTTTTGATCAATAATGGTGAAGACGACAGCTGTTTCTAGACGGTTAACTATTTAAATTGTCCGAACTATTCCATGAGATATTACTGTCTTTACCTTAAAGATCCCTCGACAGTTGGAAATCGAAAAAGAGCAGGCTAATGCCGCGGTCCTGGCAAAATGTCCCTCATTGCACCCTGCATGGCGTTGCCCGTCTTCATTAGCCCACAAGGTGCAGAAAAGTAGGACGTAAAACTCCATTCATTTCATTTCATTTTTTTTACCTTTAATAGAGAGAACGAGTTCGTTGAACGTCATTCTAAACTTCATACATATTATATTAGGTTTATATATATAGATAGATTACAAGTATTGTATATAAGTACAGTAAAGTAAAATGTAAACTCATTGAAATTCTGCCGGCCTCGAGTTCCCCAGATGGTTTATTATTTCTTAATCGCATTTTTATTCAAATTTATAACTGAAAAGAAGCCGTCTGCCGGTAAATTAATTTGATCTGAAGGCGGGAAAAGTGTGGCCGTAGTGTTAAAACTGTGTATATACGGATAATGTTTGTCCGATTAGAAGTCGTGAGGAAAGCGGTATCGGAATATTAATTCTTATGGGCACCGGGATTTGTGACGTTTATTTCTACCCAACTGGAATTTAAATTATAAAAGACGATGTTATTTCCTGTGCTTCGTGTCTCAAAATATCTCGCCATGAACTCGAAATCTTTAGTATGAAAATGAAGTTCTGTAAAGATATCGTAAGATATTTCGAAAAAACAGAGCCCAAGATCTGTTTGTTTTGTTTGTGTGCTATTATTGGTCTTTCGGGTTGTTTAAAATTGTATCTACCTGTATTTTATAATAATGATTCCTTACTTTCTCTTTACAGATGGAGTGGCGCCAACCACGTCCTGGCCGCAACAGAAACGTTTTTAAAGGATCCTTCCTGGTATCAACTCTACTCGACCAGCATTCAAACCGCTTCAAGAGTAGGGCCGCGGCGGTCAAGTTTGCCAAGAAACTGTTTCGCGAGAGTCAGGTAAAGAGTATATTTGGAGCCAATTACTTCGAAGACTCGCCACACCTCTACATGTGGAACGATGACGTCATCACCAAATATCAGCGAGCTAATACTATGACGTCGCATGTGTCACGTGGTGCAAGAGAATCTCGTTATGATCAAAAAGTTATAGAGGATGCCAAAAATCGAATTTTAAATCGTGGGGAGCAGATTAACTTAGTGAAACCGTTCCATGATTCTAATCCGGAATCTGATAGCGATTATTATAGGCCTAGTGAAATCAGTCGGCTACATAGAAACCTCGATCCTCGGATCTATCATTCGTATTCCACGGAGAGCTCGCTAGAATCACAAAACATCTACCGTCAGGTCAACAAAATATACTCCAAACACAAACATTTAACTTCCATGTCTAAATCTCGGAATCACGCTGCTATCCCGGAAGAAAAGATGGATATACCGGAAGTGACGCAAGGAGAATATATGACGGGAACCGTTACGGGTACAATGAATAGTCAGGCGTCATCAGCGGCGACGGAAAACAGCGATAATGGCCGGAGGTGGGGAGAAACAGCCTATTCCTATTCGGACAATGAAAAACAATTGATTGAGGAAATGAAACGGATGAAAAAAGAACATCAGTATATTTTGAAAACGTATGAAGAACGAATCAATAAACTAATGGCTAAGATGCATGAATTACGGAGTATAGCTGAAATGTTGGAGAATTCCAGTACCAAATCATCTCCGTATGGAATTTTACCCAATAAAGCCAACATCCTTAGTATTATAGGTAGGTCGCAATACTTTATTTTAAAAAAAACCTTTCGGCACTGTTTCCCAACAGTCTTGACGTCTCATTCCCCTTACTGTTCTAACCTTATGTTCCCTTTTGACAGGCAGTAGTTCTCTGTTGAATGTTAAAATCTAAACACCTTTATTTTTTAAAGGATTAACGAGATACGTGTAATGTTAGAAATTTTCGAAAGAACCCTGTATCAGAATGGAAGCGAGTGTTTCAGACGAGTGGGCATGGCCTACTTTCCTAAAATGACACTTTCAAAAATGACGAAGTTTTTGAAACGTGAAGGAGACGTTTTTAAAAGCCACGAAACTAAACACTTAGACTATAAATAATTGTCGAGGATTGTCTGTCTTACCATGAGATGTATTTAAACAAGATTTCAAATTTCACCACCGATTACATGTCACAGGCAGGTGTGAAGGTTAAAACTAATGAAATCTACCAGCCTGTTACTAGTCTGAATTAAAATATTTATGTATAACATCGTTTAGAATTAAAACTGTAACAGCACTTGTGATATACCGTACAATTGAAAACTCAATACTTGTGTCTTGGTTATTAATGCAATCAAAAGCCTTTGTGAAATCGTTAAAGTAAGAAACTTCTTTTGAATTATCTTGATATATTGGACCTGTTTAAAGGTTATTATTTGTTGCTTGAAACAAAATCCATCGAAAAGAAAATTTGACACTGGTTATTCAATATATTTTGATACCACTTTTTCAGAGTAGAATCAACTGTATTGCTATGTTCCTTCTGGTATCCTTCGGATGCCAAGTTGACAATACTATACATTATCATTTGCCCAATATTGAGCATTCTCTGCTACCGATAATTAAATTTACACTAAGCTTTATTTTATCTTAGGCAAGGGAGATAAACATAGTATTTGTTGGCTTTAGAACTGAATGAAACGTTTTGCAATTGATATAGATCCTTTATTATTTGTTGAACGGTTAGGACAATAGGTATCACATATATTCCTTTCATTATTTTATTAGCTGCTGTAGCTTATATTCAATTCTTTGGCTAATTCGTTTGATTCTTGTTTTTATAGGATCTAAATTAGACGAGGAGCGGAAAGAAGCAGGTTTATTTGGGGCCGATGGTGATGATCCTCCTCCCCTACCCCCACGGCCAGTCCGGGGGAACAAGATCTACCCTAATAAACCGATCGTACATACCGGGGTTATCATGAAACATCTTCCATGGAGCAGAATTATTGTCAATGAAGGTAAGAAAATAATATTTATCATGATCCAATGTCGGACGCTTAGTTTTAGGAGTTACGCACATTTTCACTTAACAAGAAGATTTACAATAATTGCTTTCTGATAAAATACAACAAGACAAATGATACCTCTTACTATCTGACTAGAGGGGACAGTCGGGCAAGTAAACTGTGTGTCGTTGCTTCAATGTTGAACTCACTGGTTAAGGAATTAAGAACCCCCTCCCTCCCCCCCTCCCAAAATAAAAAAAAAAACAAAATACGCAATGCGATATGCATGACAGAACTGGGAATGACGTTTTTATAATTTAAAGTATTACCTGGCCTACACCTGTATCGGGATTATAATACCTTTACTACTAACGTGTTACCTGACCAATTAAACAATATATTGACCAGGTAATGACCAATAACATACAGGTGTAAATACCTGGGTTTTAACACCTGGATTAATTATAGTCCACCTTAATTACAATATCGTTTTATCACCTATCTTTATCTTTCTGTCATAGTTAAACTAGAAAACTCTCAGGTACATACAAATTAATGATATTTACACTCAAACGACCGTGGATGTGATAATTCGGACATCATCAAAGGATGCTAATTTATCACCCCGGCCCTTCACACTTTTACATACCGACACCAGCCATAAACATGCTGATCCTATATCTAACAGGGTGTGGGGGGGGGGGGTATTTTATTTGACAGGACACTCACGATTTAAATATGTTGACTCTGTATCAGGTTTCTGATCCCTGAAAATATCAAGGTGTAGGGGTCTGAGATATTTGACCCATCAAGCCAATTCACCACACTGTCGATTATACACGTGCCTTCAAAACAATAAGAACACGAATTGTCTTCGAATTGTTTCAAACAGAATTCGTCTCTGCCATTATAACAATCTGCTATCCCGTCACAAACAGCTGATGTTGGTATAGTATTGTGGTGTTCTCAGATTTAGAAACAAAGAAATTTAAAATAAGTGTTTTCATAAATATGAAGTAAAATATGCTGGAAGTTTACAGTCATAATAATCAATAAAACAACAATGACAAATTTATTCTAACATACTAGCTGTAAACCAGGATGAAATATTGCAAATCTTCTGCCAATCTAAGTCAATTCTTGCTATTATCTGGTGCTCAAATCCATTAGTACCGGTACTAAAGAAATCCCTTGCCTCTGCCACGTATCCTAAAAACCTGCTTCGTTTTAATTATTGTTTTAATTAATTACATTTTATCGTGACGGTATTGAATTAGGATTATTGATCGTCTATGTAAGATTTTCTTTTATCATCAAAATTTATCAGATTTTTACCTGAAGCAGAAAATTACAGCACAAACAAGATGGTGGTAGATATATTATAAGCTATTGAAACAGTTGAGGTGTAATTAAGACAGGGTGTAATAGATTGTCAAATGTTATTACCAGTATACAATTTCGGAACAGTGATATTTTTAGTGTATTGTGACCTATTTTAAGATATATAAATAAGTATTATTAATTACTCTATCATAATTATGAAAATTAATAATTAATAACTATAATTAATAAGTAGACAACTCTCAGCAGTTTTGAAAAGCAAATAATTACATACTCTATTGGAAATATATTGTCTGAGTTTCGGATTAATCCTTCCTCTCTCATCTCTAAAGGGATCTCCATCGTCTTTTGGATAATATCAGAAGCTTTAGTGATAGTGATGTAACACTTACCTTTGGAATTGTAAGATACATCAACATCTGATTTTCAAAACGAACGATGCCTATCGAATCGATACTTTCAGTGACCCAGATACACAAATTAAATTTTTTTAAAACTTCTTTTATTTACAATCCATTCAAGCGTTCATCATCATTATTTAATCATTAGGTCAATTATTCATCATTTACACAAACAAATATACATAATGACATTCCAATAGGCCGACTGTTATTATTGATTTCTTACAAGTTGCTTGTTTCAATATACTCGTACTATCAGATATGTCTACTAACTAGAAACATTGTTACAGTTGGATATATAATTATTAAGATTTCTGCTAGAAGATGTTGGCTCGATCAGTTAAGTTCACACTTTTTTGTTTGATTCATTCGATGATATTCAATTTTGAGTTATACCAGTCGCGAGGTGAGGTCTTTGTAAGTAGGATTAGCTTAAATAACTTCATTATTCTTGCCAATCATGGTATGTATTTTAGGTTTTTTCGGAAGTTGCTTTATTTGCAAAATGTGGTAGGGCCAACTTGCAGACAGGGCCCTCAATACAGAATTGCTGTCCTTGTAAACTATGATTGTTGCGTTCTAGTAAGAGACAGGATCCTAGAGTTGTCATGATTTTATACCAGTCGCAGGTAGACAGAATCCCGGAGAACCTAGTTTAATATACCTGAACAATATGGCTTTCCAATCTGAACAACATGAGACTTGACCAAGGAACAACTGGTAGACACCAACCCCTAGAACAAGAGCTGTTATCTTTGTGTTGGCTTTTATGGAAGATACTCTCCTATAGAAGCACTGGCCAAGGTCACAAAAAGAGACCGTACTTCTTTTACATCAATTATCAATTTGAGTGATAAAGATTTGTGTAAGAGTGTTTTGAGACGAATCTCAACGAAAGCATCTTTGTAAAACCGTCGCCTAGAGTACTTGTCATGGATTAGTCAGTAAACTGGAAACTAATTTGTTATCCTTCTAAGAACAAGTACCAACTGGAAGATCCTCGGAATGGAACTAATACTGTAATATGGATGTAATAAGAACATGGTAATTGAAGTAGTATTACACAGTGCAGTGTGTTGCAGTCTAGTCCAGTATTGGATATTTTATAATATTGTACAATATACTAATCAATAAGTTTATATAGAATATAACACAAGTCAGTGTAAAAACATGGTATTCTTCACCATCAAGGTATCAGATTGATATAGTATGGATTACATGTTTTCAATTCTGAATTTAGATTCAAGGTAATGGTTTTTGTGTTTCAATATAGTCGCGAATACAGACGTGCCTTCAAATGATGTGTCTTACAGAGTTCTGTGTTGAGGGAAATGCAGACTTCAGAAAACAGCCAGCCTGCCTGTCTACAAGCTATTATAACTTATAACGCAGAAAACAGCAATCTTCTAACCCTTCGTCTGCAGTTCCTATAATTTCAAACAAATGAAGACATCACTATCGCATGAACAATCTTTTGAATCTTTTGGATCCATTGAGTACAAGACTAAACAAAAAGACTATACACATGTAGGCCTACATATATTACTATGAAAACTATAGAATATATTTAACGGACTGACTAGAGAGTTTAAACGGACTGTGAATTAATTATAAACGCCGGTGGGTAATAACACTGATTGACTGATGACGAACCCTGACTTTCGCTGCTACACCTAACAGGTATGATTCAGATAGTACGTGTATTAACTCATTGACTGATTGTATAACTCACTCACTCACTCTCTCTCTCTCTCTCATGTTTAAATGGAACAGCATGGTAGTTAAAGGTAGGCTCAATATGTTGATCAATTCTATAATATTGAATGAAATTATGTAGGACAAAAGTAACACAATGTTATGAATATAGCTTCAAAACGTTTCTATAATTTACGATTTTGTTGAAAAACAATGGGTTTGCACAAAAACAGGAATAGTATACTATTAAGTACTAGAGATAAGATAAATTGTAAATTGTTGAAAAGCTGTGGGCAAATAAAACCAGGAGATAGTATACCAAAAGTAATTTCCTATCAAATTGATGTATTGCAATGCTGAAATTCTTAGACCAGTGTTCCTATAGGAGAGTATCTTCTATAACACCTAATACTTGTGACCTAGACCAGTGCTTCTATAAGAGAGTATCTTCTATAACACCTTATACTTGTGACCTAGACCAGTGTTTCTATAGGAAAGTATCTTCTATAACACCTAATATTTGTGACCTAGACCAGTGTTTCTATAGGAGCGTATCTTCTATTACACCTAATACTTGTGACCTAGACCAATGTTTCTATAAAGAGTATCTTCTATAACACCTCATACTTGTGACCTAGACCAGTGTTTCTATAGGAGAGTATCTCTTATAACACCTAATACTTGTAACCTAGAGCAGTGTTTCTATAAGAGAGTATCTTCTATAACATCTAATACTTGTAACCTAGACCAGTGTTTCTATAGGAGAGTATCTTCTATAACATCTAATACTTGTAACCTAGACCAGTGTTTCTATAGGAGAGTATCTTCTATAACACCTCATACTTGTGACCTAGACCAGTGTTTCTATAAGAGAGTATCTTCTATAACATCTAATACTTGTAACCTAGACCAGTGTTTCTATAGGAGAGTATCTTCTATAACATCTAATACTTGTAACCTAGACCAGTGTTTCTATAAGAGAGTATCTTCTATAACATCTAATACTTGTAACCTAGACCAGTGTTTCTATAGGAGAGTATCTTCTATAACATCTAATACTTGCCTAGACCAGTGTTTCTATAGGAGAGTATCTTCTATAACACCTAATACTTATAATCTAGACCAGTGTTTCTATAAGAGAGTATCTTCTATAACAGTGAATAATTGTGACCAGTGTTTCTATAGGAGAGTATCTTCTATAATATCTAATACTTGTAACCTAGACCAGTGTTTCTATAGGAGAGTATCTTCTATAACATCTAATACTTGTGACCTAGACCAGTGTGTCTATAAGAGAGTATCTTCTATAACACCTAATACTTGTAACCTAGACTAGTATTTCTATAGGAGAGTATCTTCTATAACACCTAATACTAGTGACCTAGACCAGTGTTTCTATAGGAGAGTATCTTCTATAACACCTAATACTTGTAACCTAGACCAGTGTTTCTATAAGAGAGTATCTTCTATAACAGTGAATAATTGTGACCAGTGTTTCTATAGGAGAGTATCTTCTATAACATCTAATACTTGTAACCTAGACCAGTGTTTCTATAGGAGAGTATCTTCTATAACACCTAATACTTGTGACCTAGACCAGTGTTTCTATAGGAAAGTATCTTCTATAACATCTAATACTTGTGACCTAGGCTAGTGTTTCTATAGGAGAGTATCTTCTATAACATCTAATACTTGTAACCTAGACCAGTGTTTCTATAGGAGAGTATCTTCTATAACACCTAATACTTGTGACCTAGACCAGTGTTTCTATAGGAAAGTATCTTCTATAACATCTAATACTTGTAACCTAGACTAGTGTTTCTATTGGAGAGTATCTTCTATAACATCTAATACTTGTGACCTAGACTAGTGTTTCTATAGGAAAGTATCTTCTATAACATCTAATACTTGTGACCTAGACCAGTGTTTTTATAGGAGAGTATCTTCTATAACACCTAATACTTGTGACCTAGACCAGTGTTTCTATAGGAGAGCATCATCTATAACACCTGATACTTGTGACCTAGACCAGTGTTTCTATAGGTGTGTATCTTCTATAACATCTAATACTTGTGACCTAGACCAGTGTTTCTATAGGAGAGTATCTTCTATAACACCTAATACTTGGGACCTAGACCAGTTTTTCTTTAGGTGTGTATCTTCTATAACATCTAATACTTGTAACCTAGACCAGTGTTTTTATAGGTGTGTATCTTCTATAACACCTAATACTTGTGACCTAGACCAGTGTTTCTATAAGTGTGTATCTTCTATAACATCTAATACTTGTGACCTAGACCAGTGTTTCTATAGGAGAGTATCTTCTATAACACCTAATACTTGTGACCTAGACCAGTGTTTCTATAGGTGTGTATCTTCTATAACATCTAATACTTGTAACCTAGACCAGTGTTTCTATAGGAGAGTATCTTCTATAACACCTAATACTTGTGACCTAGACCAGTGTTTCTATAGGTGTGTATCTTCTATAACACCTAATACTTGTGACCTAGGCCAGTGTTTCTATAGGAGAGTATCTTCTATAACACCTAATACTTGTGACCTAGACCAGTGTTTCTATAGGTGTGTATCTTCTATAACACCTAATACTTGTAACCTAGACCAGTGTTTCTATAGGAGAGTATCTTCTATAACACCTAATACTTGTGACCTAGACCAGTGTTTCTATAGGTGTGTATCTTCTATAACACCTAATACTTGTGACCTAGACCAGTGTTTCTATAGGTGTGTATCTTCTATAACAGCTAATACTTGTGATCTAGACCAGTGTTTCTATAGGAGAGTATCTTCTATAACACCTAATACTTGTGACCTAGACCAGTGTTTCTATAGGAGAGTATCTTCTATAACACCTAATACTTGTGACCTAGACCAGTGTTTCTATAGGTGTGTATCTTCTATAACACCTAATACTTGTGACCTAGGCCAGTGTTTCTATAGGTGTGTATCTTCTATAACACCTAGTACTTGTAACCTAGACCAGTGTTTCTATAGGTGTGTATCTTCTATAACATCTAATACTTGTGACCTAGACCAGTGTTTCTATAGGAGAGTATCTTCTATAACACCTAATACGTGTGACCTAGACCAGTGTTTCTATAAGAGAGTATCTTCTATAACACCTAATACTTGTAACCTAGACCAGTGTTTCTATAGGAGAGTATCTTCTATAACATCTAATACTTGTGACCTAGACTAGTTTTTCTATAGGAGAGTATCTTCTATAACACCTAATACTTGTAACCTAGACCAGTGTTGCTGTAGGACAGTATCTTCTATAACATCTAATACTTGTGACCTAGACCTGTGTTTCTGTAGGTGTGTATCTTCTATAAAACTTAGACCAAAATAACTGATGACAATATTCATTAAACGTCGTGTTTAAAATGAATTCTTCCAAGGAAACAGAGTGAGGCAAACACTTCCTGAAAACCAACCTTCAGTCGCCGTACTAACTAACTCAAGTGAAAGACAGACTAAGAACAAATGTAGATATCTGTGAACTTTTGTGAACATATTTCGTTCAAAAAGTCATATTTAAATGACTGAAAGTTGAAGTGGCAGAGAAAAATTGACACCATTTGGTTTAATAGAAAGGCTATTGAACATTACTTGATACAAAAACCACTGAGGCGTTTCACTTCATTTAAAATACATGACATTATATAAAAATCAATAGAAACAGCTAATGATGATTGTATAGTGACGAGGTTCTTGCTTGGCACAGGAATAATTATTATAGAACCATAGGAGTTTCCTTTCTTGGCTTAGACACCTAGTTCATTTCTAAAACTAATTGTCCTGATGAGGATTGTGTATCCGAAGCATGTATTGACAAGGTTCTAACTAGTATGAGGAATATTATAGAACTATAGGAATATCGACACAGGAATACAGGACCACTGTTCAATAAGTGTCCTACACATCTTGTTCATTATTCGAAAGTTAACCTCCATTTCTAAAACTATCTTTCCTGGTAAGGATTGTGTATACCAAGCATATAGAATTTGCATCAATATCAGTGAAATATCTGGTGCCCAGGCTAGACGCGAATACCGAGGAAAAAAACATTGATTATATTGTTCTCGTTTCGTTGATGTGGATACATGTACAAAACTAACCCTTAAGGGTACAACACAGAGTATCCTGATCAGGGAAGAGATTATGGTGTTTGTGAGTTCGAATCCGATTGATTATATTGTGACTTTGTTTATTTTTTTCAGAGGGTGAAAATGGACCTACCTCTATCTGGCAGAGTATGATGGAACCTAAAATAGACGTCGAGGAATTAGAGAGGTCAGTTATACCAGAATTTCTGTTCGTAAAGTTTCATCCCATACCTTGAAATGGATCCGTAGAGGTTTTCTACCTTTGTGTGTTTATAAGTTACACTTAGATTCTTAAAGTTTCTGATTTTCAGTTCAACATTTGAGGTTTCTGTAAAACCAGAGAAAACCTTCACAAATTATGACGTCTCTATCCTGAAAACCATACAAACCAAAATGGTGACGTCATAGTCTGAATTGCAATAACCAAATGTAGGACAGAATCCAAAAGCACTAGTCAATAAGGTTCTGAACAGTAGGCTGTAAAACTCGACTTCAATTCAATGTTTGTGATTTCTCTGTAGGTTGTTTTGTGCGACGACAGAATCACTGGATGATATTTCTCTGTTTGATGATATCTATGTAAGAAGAGGTAGACCCAAACATCAGGTATTTATTGATTATCTTTATGTCTATAATCATTCATCCTGTAATGTTTATCTCTTGATGGTTTTTTTCTTGAAATTTTAATATTACTTACTATCGTATTGTGCTTATTTACTTTCCCTTTTCTTGTCTGAGCCGACTGTGAGGGAATTATCTTGGATCATAGCAACCTTTAGGCTATAAACTCTACAGTACAAGTTACATGACTTTATTAAATTTGAGCTCCACTAAAATAAGTACTGTTGTTGGTTTAATCACCTTTTCTGCTGACAAAAGGAGTTTGGAAATCCGAAAGAAATTTAAATCGAGTATGCCTATGTTACCGAGCAGGTAATTTATTAAGGTTACGATAGAATTAAATAGATTTATTCATTTCCATCTGTTGCTGTATTACTAAATTTTACAATACTTTTATTATAATAGTACATGTATTGTGACATATATCTAGATAGATTAAAACCCATAAAACAAAAGTATTTTTCAGACAGTACTATCGACAGTCGCTCTATTGTCTGGTTTGGTTTGGTTATTGTAGTTTATAATAGTAGGACTAGGGCAAATTTGTTGATCCACATCCAGATATGATTAAAAAATAAACACGAGCCTATGTTAGCTAGGGTAGTAGAATAGTTCAGTCGGTAGCGAGTTGAATTGTCGTCTACTAGGCGATAAAGTGCTGTGGTGCGAGTTCAAATCCCCTTTGAGGTTTAAAAAGATCTGATGTCATGGACAGTGCGTCCGGGTGTCGGCTCACTGTCGTATTTTCGCCCTGACATAACAGTCAGGCCTGTGTACCCCGAATTGAAAACTAAACAATAATCTGAAAATGTGATCAAATACGTTTTTCTGTTTCTAGCTGGTTAACATCTATGAAGGGGACAAAGCCCAGAGGATTGTGGCGGAGATGAGAAACTTACGATGTTCTTTAAACGATCTGATCCATTCTGTGACAGTTTTAGATTCCAAAGACCTGAATCAAGAAAGGTAAGAATTGATTTTAACTCAGGGGCAGTGTTGCAGATCAGTAGCACTGTCGTCCCCTAGGATAGTGTGGCAACTCAGTTGGATTGTCATTTGATAACACCTCGTCTCAGACTACCTGTTTGGAAAACGATATAATGAATCTTTTTACTAGCTGTATAGACACTTGTCCTTCATAGTAACATTGAACAAGTCACCTCAATAAATCAATAAATAAATAGAGTTGAACATCTTTGATAAACCGAATTGAAGTGTGATTTCTTTTCAAATTAGATCTATAAAAAATCAAAGTTAAACCAGGATTACAATCAGCATTAAATATTTTATTAATTTATTGATTGGAGAGGGATAAAATACTCCACATTTCCATTTTTACACGTTTTTTTTTTACAATTTATCGATATGATATACCATTAAAGTGCTATAATCAAAGGGCCTTGATATATTTAAAATATCAATATAATACACTTTTAAGGGTTTTCTATCACAGGGCCTGGATCTGTAATAATGTTATACATCATATTGTTATTAATGTACTAGACATAAATAATCTATAACACGATGAAGTATTACAAATATTGTACAAGAAATCAAGTCCCTGTGAGTAACACCTGGAGAGTTGTTAGAGGGGTTTATGGACAATAAAACATAACGACTCGATAATTTGATATTTTTAAATTGTTATTACCATTGTATATTGGTCATAAGAATTATTATTGCTCTCTCACAGGGACACGATTTCAGTTAAAAATACTTAACGGTTAACTGAAGTTGCGAGAAATCGTCAGACTACTATCAACTGACATCAACTGGATGATCGTAGTTTCTAACTACTTTGGTCGACTTTCATATACTAGTTTAGCTAGAAATGAAGCCCACTGTAAAACATAAATACATGACAAATATTTTGTTTAAAAAGTTTAAAATAAAAATATAGATATGATGCCTGGGGAAAGTTGGTTAACCTTTTGAAGTCTACCCGGACCCCTCTGCCATAACTTTTAAAGAAAAAGACCAAAAGACTGTAGTCACGGACCGTGATAATGATATATTTAGTGGTTATTGTTATGAGTTAATCTCGATGTTTCAGTGGATTAGAGTTTGTAAAATCTGTTAATGAATCCACACTGTGTGTAATAAATATGTATAGATATCAACTGTAAGCTAATTAATACTGATGAAATGTTTCAAACAAAGATAGAGATTTATCAATTCATGCTACATGCCTCCATGAACACCACATGGTACCTATTGTAAAATCTCAAGCGTTATGTCTTGACGTCCTGCCCACCAATTAAACTATTATATTTCTTCAAGCCATATTGTCACATTATTTTATGGCCGATGTTTCGACAGCGGCCAACAAAGGGCGGGTAATTTATGGCCCTGTGAAAGTATTCTATGGAGAATTTGTAACATCGATTTTGACAGTTGGAGATTTATTGATAGAAACCTGGAATTATTGAAACTAGATTTGACTTTATTAGTTGTTAATATTATGAATGGTACTCGACCATTGAATCAAACAGTTGACCAATTATAACTTAATGGCTGTTTCAGACAATAAACACTTTCAGTGGTACAGATGACTAAACATTTTCTGATCTTAATTTCTAAGACTTCTGGGAGTTTTCTATCGTCTATGAGTTGGTACTGTGAAAGTTTCAAGATAGCCCATAACTCATTGATATTGGATATTAATATAGGACCTATTAAAAACTAATGGGTGTTTTAGAAAATGGAACAATAGTGAGTGATGGTGATGAGAACATAATCTCTTAAAAGCACGTGGATTATTTTGATTTCCATTTCGAAGTTTCTTCTTCTGTGGAAACTTTCCACATCTCGATATACAGTTTGTGTAAACGATGATCCTCGTGATGCCTGACGTTAACTGTCGTCTATCAACCACCCAGATAAACCTCGTAATACTTCGGTGTATCCCGGTTGGACAGACCATTTTTAAATGACTATATCTGCACCAAGAAGCACCACATGTAACATCAGATGTCAGTGATTGGATAGTTTAAGACTTCTCCTATGTAAAATATTATATTTTAAAGCTCATTTAGCCCCTACTACCATTGGTTATTGAATTTGATAATAGAGGAATTTTGATAATAGAGGGATGCATATCTTTACTTTCAGTTTAGCACAGTTATTAGATCTACTGTGTTCATCACGTGACATGGAGAAGATTGTACACCACGTGAAGAGAAAAGGGGCGGGTAAGATTTTCCATTTCTAATTTTGTATAACTACTCGAAATGTTCTCTGCGAACTCTGTTAGCAAACTGATAATGATGATAAAAAGTGGAATAATGACAAAAAAGAACGGTCCAATGACAGCTCATATGTTCCTATGTAATTGATATTTTGTCTCATAAAATCTTTGTTTTTCATGTTTCTGTATTTGCTTTCAGCTCAACTCGACTATCCTGAGTATTTGATATCTGAAATCTCCAAAGTTGACCATTTTAAAGAAAGATTGGAATTTCTCAGATTTCGTGAAAAATTACAGATTAATTTATTTGAAATTGGTAAGTAGAGGACGGCTTCTAACTCCTGAGAAGGGATGTACCAAGGTTATTGGTTGGGTTGGTGAGGGTCTGACGGATAACCTCATACCGGACCCATTTCACGACTTCCTCGTTCTCCATTAAACCACTGAACTTCTATTCGTGATTTGGTCGGTAAATGTCGGCTGCTCAGGTAACCAATATCATTACTGCAACGAAACACCACTCTCTATTGACCCTGTCGGATATATTACTTGCCTCTCAAAACAGTCAGGCCTGGCTACGGGCTTGCGGTTGCCTTCTTTTGATGTAACAAGCTCAGTATGTGAAGTATCCCCACTATAATTGTCCAGTGTATTATTTAGAAGGTCCTCTACGCCTACCAACTTCTGACGAGATGTGAGGTCGTTCCTGTACACTCTACTGTTGATTCCATTCTGCCATGTTGGTGATATGTTATTTTTATATTTTTACAGAACAACAGTTACGAGAGTTACATACAGCTTGTGATGAAATCTGTAACAGGTAGGCTTTTAAAACTCATGCGGCGTGCTTACTCTTTCAGCAATCATATGTTTTTTGTTTTCGTTTTGAAACGGCTGTCAGCTGTCAGACAAATAGATTGTCTGCTTATTACTGTTATAACCTTCTAGACTCTTTCAGCGAACACATGACTTTGTTTTGATTTCCAATCGGCTATAAAAAACCAAAGATTGTGAACCTATTCTTAACAGTGTCTGTTAAATCGATGTGCTAAATGAAATAAACTAGTAAGAAAATAGTCAGAAAAGTGACCAGGTACATAGAACCCCTATCTTTGAAGATGCAGTATTCCTTTAACACTATACAGTCATTATCATGGTTTCTGCTGAACGTTTCTCAAAGAAAATACAATTTTTGAGCAAATTAATATAATCCTGACATTATTGTAGCATTCTGACATTCTGTGAACCTTTAGAGTTTTTACATGTGTTAAAGACCTAGAACAACAACTACGCATGGCCTTTAAGCGTATATCTCAGAACTTTTATTGTTATTTATTTCAGCCTGGCCTTAAAGAATCTATTGGGAACTCTGTTGACTGTAGGCAACTATTTAAACGGTGGGTCGGAGAAGGGACAAGCTGATGGTTATAATTTAGATATATTGAATAAGTTAAAAGATGTCACAGACAAGGTGAGAAACCAGTTTTTAACTGTAACGGTACGAGGTACGGGGAGGTTAGGTACGATATATAGTGTCTTACTGTAACAGTACGAGGTACGGGGAGGTTAGGTAGATATACGGTGTCTTACTGTAACAGTACGAGGTACGGGGAGGTTAGGTACGATATATGGTGTCTTACTGTAACAGTACGAGGTACGGGGAGGTTAGGTAGATATACGGTGTCTTACTGTAACAGTACGAGGTACGGGGAGGTTAGGTACGATATATGGTTCGGAACTATTGGTCAGTATCAAAAGAAGAATGGATACACTAGGTTTGCCTAGCACGATGCTGATCGATTTGCATTTAATGTGTTTTACTGTATTGATGATTCGGAACACACACCACCATATATACACCTTCTTATCGATTTGATGTTATAATATTAAGGTTTATTGAATAAGCTCTCTATTTCACAACCTTCAATAAGTAACTATATATTTGAAGGATAATATTTCAGGTTCTTGACGGATCCAGCTAATCTCTGTTCAAACCTCTTGCCAGTGAGTTTATAAGAATGCCAACTCCCACCAACCTACCTTTTAACATTGTCGTAGATTTAACAATCACTATGAGTTGTGATATTTATGGCCACTGGTCTTCTATAGAAAGTTCCAGACAGACTAGCGGGCAAATTGCCCGGAACAATTTGTTTGTGATATCTTACTCGTTACACTGCTTGGAATTTAGATTTTGATATTTTGGGGTCTGATATAATATTTTTGTTAATTGTAGAGTCGTCGAGGAAACCTGTTAGAGTTTGTTGTTAAATCGTATTGTAAATTGTATGAGAGTGATGTAGAAACAGGTTGTCCTACGAGATTTCGGCTTCCAGAACCTTCCAACATGAGACATGCTGCTCAAGTATCGTTCGAGGACATTCATAGAGCTTTGAACAGTTTACGTCAAGAATTACACATTGTTAAAGACAGGGTATGTATGATTTGACATTATTATTTAACAAAATGTTTATTTAAAAGAATATAACCTCTTAGAATGGACATAAAATCTCTTAAAACATAAGTCTCTTACTTGGTCAATAAGTGTATATATTCATCAGTTGAACTTACCAGGTGTCATGACTAAAGAATAGAATCTCTATATAAGATGATATATCTATTAAACTGAATAATTATTGAAAGACGCTTCTTGTTCAAACAATGAATCAAACCTATCAGATGCAGGATAGAAGAACGTAAAACTCTATTTCAATTTTATATTATAGATTGAGGGTGTAGCCAGAACTGATAACAGTAATACCACATATCAACTGAAAGTTTTGAGTGAAAATTATTTTACCTGCGGTAAGTGTGTCGGGTTTTGTATGATAATGCTATTAATTTTACCCGGGTAATGTTGTGGGTTGTTGTTTCTGGGCCTTGGTCAAACGTTTGCAAACAAGTTAACAAACTAAGTTCTCAAGGATCCTGTGTAAAAGCCAAACCACTTGGCAGTGGTATCTACGATCTGTAGTATACCCTAAATCAAATTGTTCTTAAAGAAAACTAAGTTTTAAAGTTCTATTATTGAATAACAAGGGTTCATCTCATGCCACGTGTTTCGGACATATAATCCACGTCATGAAAGTTAACGTCTGCAGCTTTATTATAGCCATTGGAAGGCCCCTATATTGTCAAATATTCAGCCCATATCCATTATCTTTGTAATAATGTCATATGGTCCTGTCTAAAATTCAGTGTAGCTTACTCCAGAGCTGTCTCTTACTAATAATGTCGATAATAGATTGTCGTTTTGCTGTGTTTTTTTTACTAATAATTTCAATATATATTTTACAGCTGTTGAAGTACTAGCAGAAGAAGATCGCCTCCTGGAAGACACTAAGAAATATTTTAAGAAAACCTCCACTTATTTTATTCACGATAGAAAAACTTCACCTCAAGATTTCTTTCAAATTTGGGCCACATTTCTTCATGATACCAAATTTTACTGGAAATTATCTCACAGAAACTTGGCGAAACTCAGATTTGAAATGGAGTTTTCCGCCAAGAATCAAATGGTAAGTAATTGTTTTAATGTTTATCTACTGTGTTTCAAGTGTAGTTTGAACAATCTCTCCCTTATTGCCCACTACATAGCTTTGGCCCTCTTCATTAGCCCAATCATATGGAAGAAGTAAAATGATTAATTATCACTTCGGTGTTGTGGACCTAAATCTGACCCATGGAAAAAAGTCTCTGTTTGTCCCCAGGGACTGAATGTTCGATAGGACCCAGAAGGCTCTGATAAGCTGTATTTGCTGACTTACAATTTAATCAAATCGCTGCATTTACAAACTTCTTCACAAGACAGGTGGCTATTGCAGTGAAGGTATTAGATGCAGTTTGTAATAGCTTGACATTGTGAAGATGCAGTTTGTAATAGCTTGACATTGTGAAAATGCAGTTTGTAATAGCTTGACATTGTGAAGATGCAGTTTGTAATAGCTTGACATTGTGAAGGTGGATTAGGGCGATGTAAAATCTGTTTTTATCAATTCTACTTTCATTTTATTTACAATTTCAGTCTTCCACGTCACACCACAGTCACCATGGTAAATATAGAAACGAGGTGAAGAAACATCTGTCAACATTGGAACAGGACCGTCACCTGAACCGTGCCCAGCAACTCAAACATATCAATAACTGGATCGAATCCGTGGGGAAATACACCGAGGAGATCAACTCAGACATACCTCATTACAATCCACGTAGTTCGTCCACCAAACACGACCCGCATTCCACTCATCGACCATCGTCTCCCAAACCATTGACATCCACGCCTCCCAACGTCCACAAACCTCTTGCCTTGAATCATAACAGTCCAACTCTGGCTGTACCACCCTATTATGGAAATGGTAACCACAACTATATAAATCAGGAGTCACCGTACGATACTCTAACGAGAGGAAACGAGACTGATGACGTCAATAAACAGACGTCAAGTCCACCGGAAGTGGCTCCGAAGAAAAACAGTAATCAGTTCTCGTTAAAATCTTGGTTGAAGCGAGAACAAACAAAACGAAACGATGACAATAATGTCAATCAGAAACAAAACACTCCATCGAGTACAGGTACCTTAGGGAAGATTCGCAACTCGGTTGTGAATAAATTTTCGAATTCTAAGAGACCTCTAGATGCTCAACATGAAGTGAACAAACCGGAAGTTGACCGGCGACTGAAAGACTCGAATAAGAACAACTCGTCATCTAATCCAGGTCATCAAACTATAGTCACTGGCAATGAAATCAACGTCAACATGGTCACAGGACCTAATATTTATCTGGAACGTAACAAGGGAGACTACCAAGGTCTATATTTCGAGGTTCCTATAACGAGAGATGGCGGATTTGGACAGAATTCGAACCCATCAACACTTGACAGTACAAAGAGTAGAGACAACTCCCCACCTAAGTATGATTACAATAAAGAACAACCATTCGGTGGCCAGTTCACAAGTCCAGAGAAAAAAAGCGTTTCGCCGCATAATGACGTGAACAATAATAAGAAATCTCGCGGAATTCCGCCAGAGACTCCTCCAAAACCAGCACGTGCAAAAGACCGCGTTAATATGGGCCACTCTGAACAAACCGTCCCACATCTAGCTAGTACAGATCCTCAGATGGTGGTAGCCGAGGCTGTGCCTGTTTACACTGCCAAATCCACACCGAACTATGAGAACCAAACTAAAGTGGACCATCGATCTCAAGTTCTTCGTGGTCATGCCGAACCTGTTCATTCATCACACAAACCTCAGCTATCCAACTCATCTGAAGTGTATCGAAACGAACTCGCTAGAAAAAGTGAAATGTTCTTGAAAGGAAGTTCACAAAAGACATTGTCTCCAGAAAATTACAGAATGGGCTCCGGTAGTAAATCTAATTCCGACTTCAGTCGAAGCCCCCAGCAACATTTTGACGGGTATCCGGCGAGGTGCAGTGCCAGTACCCAGAACATCCTGGAACGTCAGCTAAATCACCTCAGTCCTCCAACCATGTCAGACCCTAGAAACATGACCCACAGAACCACACAGAATTCATCCTCGGTGACTAACCTTATAGACCGGTTCGAGAAGAGTCCGGTTCAAATGGATTCTGATAAACAACCATCCATGACATCAACACCTCTTACTCATCGTCGCAACAATCAACTCTCGCCCGAACAGGATTCATACCAGACTCCTCACAGAGGCCGCCACCGGGATCAAGAGTCATATAGCCGATCACCACCGCGATCCAAGTCTCAAGATCGGAGTAAACCCAGGTCTCGAGAATCTAGTCAACAACGATACCATGATCGTGAATCCAGTCATCGACAGCAAGATCACCGCGGGGCACAAGACCATCGTGGGACACAAGACCAACATCAAAATCAGATCCGAAAACAGGATTCGTTCCGGCAACAGGACGAGTTCAAGCAGCACGACTACAACCACAATCCATCTGAAATTAGAAGCAGCAAGACCCAGACATATCCAGTACCCAAACCACGACGAAATCAACCTCAAGTCACTCCAAACATGAACCAATATAACCAACAGCAGTACAACCAGAACCAGCGATATCCCACCTCGAATTATCAACAACCTTCTGATACCCAGCAATACCATCAACATTTTACCAATAAATCACCGCCTTCTAATCACCAACAAATAGTCATCCATCAAATACCAACAAGCCATCAAACACCGCTCAATCACCATACACAATTCAATCACCACACACCGCCCGACCTCCAAACACCAGCAAGCCACAAATTACCAACCAACCATCAGGCTAAGGCCAACCATCAAACAACCTCCAACCATTATTCAAGCCAGCCACCCAATCAGTACCAGATTTATAAAGCGACGCCAGTGACTTACAATAAGAGCGATCAGGACAATACATACGGCTTCAGCGATCACGAGGACAATTATACGGATCAGTTGAGAAAAGCATCGAAGGCTAAATCTAGTGCAGTATTTGATAGGTATACTAACTCTACAACCAGTCCGCAATATGGCCGCCAATCTGGCACAATGGCCGTTGTGAAACCCACAGTAATGCAGCCTAAACCAATGGATATATGAACACCTTTAAGACTGCACTTTCTCGAAATACAGGTAAACGGTCGAGAGCTAACCCAGAGCAAAACCTACTCGGAATAATATACTAGCCTAGAGAATGTCACAATTCCTATGAATGTATATGTAAAAATACTGAATTCCATTGAACAAAGAAACGCGAAGCTGACGCAAAGCTGATCTGGAGCTTGGTAAAATTCAATCGCTGAACGGTAGTAAGGGTAACCGTGTCGTTATTTGATAGCCTGTTTTAGTCTGAGTTACAGACATCCCTTATCGTCATCGTAGTCCAAGTTAGAATATCTGTCTACATTAAATTTAAAGACATCGGTTGCCTATTTAATAATAATTTAACAAAGATAAAATACAGATTTTAAATATTTTATTGTTGTAAAAAGCTTAAATTGATTTAGTGATTGGCAATCTGTCGCTTGAAACATTGAGCTCATAAACAATTAAGGCTTTTATCGTGGTTCTTGGCTTACTATTGAGTAGTCTGAAGAATTAGAACTGTCCAGATAATATATTAGCTGCAATATTTGATAAAATAAAGTTATTGTTATTATTAATGATACCAACGTGTTGTTTTTAAAATGTCCTCTAAACAGATCGGTATGTTTATATCTTCTCAAAATAGAATTGAATCGGCAATCTAAGAATTGAAGAAACTGAATCAGTGAACCAATAGCTGTGTTGAATTGTCAATATGCTGTTTCACCCATGTTACATTTGTGGTTATATCGTATTCCTTGAACAAAAATAAAATTCCATTTTCCATGAATTTTGGAGCGTGCACATCCCTTTGTAAATCTACACAGTGTGTTATCAGAGGCTGGTAAGAAGAAGCCGATATGGAACTGGCAGAATGGAGATTTTTTCGATTGCACTATTATAGTCAAGGGAAATACCTAAAAAGAAATTAATTAGATTCAGATGAAATTAAAACTCATTTGATAAATTAATACCACAGTTGAAATAAATATAATATTGGTTTTATTAGTAACTATTTATTTCGTTTAGGTGGGAATATTAAAAATATATCATACGAAATTCAATATTAGAATACAAGATACAATATTGAAATACAGATACAATATAAAAATACAGATACAAAATAGAAATACAGATACAAAATAGAAAATACAAGATACAATATAGTAATACAAGAGACAATATAGAAATACAAGAAACAATATAGAAATACAGATACAATATAGAAATACAGATACAATAAAGAAATACACATAAAAAAATAGATATACAGGATACAATATAGAAATAAAGATACAATATAGAAATACCCATACAATATTGAAAAAAAGATACAATATAGAAATACAAGATACAATATAGAAATACAAGAAACAATATAGAAATACAGATACAATATAGAAATACAGATAAAAAATAGAAATACAGATAAAAAATAGAAATACAGGATTCAATATAGAAATACAGATACAATATAGAAATATCTATACAAAATAGAAAAACAAGATACAATATAGAAATACAAGATACAATATAGAAATACAGATACAATATAGAAATACAAGATACAATAACGATAGTAGAATAGAATTTAAGAGATACAATATTGAAATACAAGATTTTAACAACAAAAACTATAAACATGACAGTACATCTTGGTATTATAAATAGAATTTACAAGATACAATATTGAAATACAAGATTTTAACAACTAAAACTATGAACATGTCAGTACATCTTGGTATTATCAATGGAATTTACATGATACAATATTGAAATACAAGATTTTAACAACTAAAACTATAAACATGACAGTACATCTTGGTATTATAAATAGAATTTACATGATACAATATTGAAACACAAGATTTTAACAACTAAAACTATAAACATGTCAGTACATCATGGTATTATAAATAGAATTTACATGATACAATATTGAAATACAAGATTTTAACAACTAAAACTATAAACATGTCAGTACATCTTGGTATTATAAATAGAATTTACATGATACAATATTGAAACACAAGATTTTAACAACTAAAACTATAAACATGTCAGTACATCATGGTATTATAAATAGAATTTACATGATACAATATTGAAATACAAGATTTTAACAACTAAAACTTTAAACATGACAGTACACCTAGGTAAATACTGGTGGTGATTGTTCATGGTTCACCATTATTTATATTCAATATCTAGAACTTGTAGTACCAGAGTACAAGATAACAAATACTGATGGTGATTGTTCATGGTTCACCATTATTAATATCTAGAACTTGTAGTACCAGAGTACGAGATAACAAATACTGGTGGTGATTGTTCATGGTTCACCATTATTTATATTTGATATCTAGAACTTGTAGTACCAGAGTACGAGATAACAAATACTGGTGGTGATTGTTCATGGTTCACCATTATTTATATTTAATATCTAGAACTTGTAGTACCAGAGTACGAGATAACAAATACTGGTGGTGATTGTTCATGGTTCACCATTATTTATATTTAATATCTAGAACTTATAGTACCAGAGTACGAGATAACAAATACTGGTGGTGATTGTTCATGGTTCACCATTAGTTATATCTAATATCTAGAACTTGTAGTACCAGAGTACGAGATAACAAATACTGGTGGTGATTGTTTATGGTTCACCATTATTAATGTTTAATATCTAGAACTTGTGGTACCAGAGTATGAGATAACAAATACTGATGGTGATTGTTCATGGTTCACCATTATTTATATCTAATATCTAGAACTTGTAGTACCAGAGTACGAGATAACAAATACTGGTGGTGATTGTTCATGGTTCACAATTATTTATATTTAATATCTAGAACTTGTAGTACCAGAGTACGAGATAACAAATACTGGTGGTGATTGTTCATGGTTCACCATTATTTATATTTAATATCTAGAACTTGTAGTACCAGAGTACGAGATAACAAATACTGGTGGTGATTGTTCATGGTTCACCATTATTTATATTTAATATCTAGAACTTGTAGTACCAGAGTACGAGATAACAAATACTGGTGGTGATTGTTCATGGTTCACCATTATTTATATTTGATATCTAGAACTTGTAGTACCAGAGTACGAGATAACAAATACTGGTGGTGATTGTTTATGGTTCACCATTATTTATATTTGATATCTAGAACTTGTAGTACCAGAGTACGAGATAACAAATACTGATGGTGATTGTTCATGGTTCACCATTATTTATATTTAATATCTAGAACTAGTAGTACCAGAGTACGAGATAACAAATACTGGTGGTGATTGTTCATGGTTCACCATTATTTATATTTGATATCTAGAACTTGTAGTACCAGAGTACGAGATAACAAATACTGGTTGTGACTGTTCATAGTTCACCATTATTTATATTTAATATCTAGAACTAGTAGTACCAGAGTACGAGATAACAAATACTGGTGGTGATTGTTCATGGTTCACCATTATTTATATCTAATATCTAGAACTTGTAGTACCAGAGTACGAGATAACAAATACTGGTGGTGATTGTTCATGGTTCACCATTATTTATATTTGATATCTAGAACTTGTAGTACCAGAGTACGAGATAACAAATACTGGTGGTGATTGTTCATGGTTCACCATTATTTATATTTAATATCTAGAACTTGTAGTACCAGAGTACGAGATAACAAATACTGGTGGTAATTGTTCATGGTTCACTATTATTTATATTTAATATCTAGAACTTGTAGTACCAGAGTACGAGATAACAAATACTGGTGGTGATTGTTCATGGTTCACTATTATTTATATTTAATATCTAGAACTTGTAGTACCAGAGTACGAGATAACAAATACTTGTGGTGACTGTTCATAGTTCACCATTATTTATATTTAATATCTAGAACTTGTAGTACCAGAGTACGAGATAACAAATACTGGTGTTGATTGTTCATAGTTCACCATTATTTATATTTAATATCTAGAACTTGTAGTACCAGAGTACGAGATAACAAATACTGGTGGTGATTGTTCATGGTTCACCATTATTTATATTTGATATCTAGAACTTGTAGTACCAGAGTACGAGATAACAAATACTGGTGGTGATTGTTCATGGTTCACCATTATTTATATCTAATATCTAGAACTTTGATTATATCAAATTTTACATCGAACTGACCCTCATTATCGATAAATCCTTCTGATGGATCAGTGAGTGTATCCCGTGATATAAGTATCACATCTTTACAATCACCTGGTGTAAATCTCTCAGTTCTAGTATTACTGATCAAATCCTTATTTTTTTCTTTATTAAAAAGGGTTACAGCATAGGTTATTTTACAATCATTAACTAGTCGATTATCTTTTGGTAATAACTCAATGCTAATGTTTAAACATCTTTCCAAAACAGAAACCTTCCATACTTTACAGCTCCATACAATACTGTTATTATCATATTTATCGTCACTGTAATATATATTCCAACCATTCCTGATGAACTTATAGTTAAATCTAAATACACCACCCTCTCTAGGTTGATATAGTGGTTTAGTTACAGTTGATCCCAAAATATCACAAACTTTAACACTCCCCTCTCTCCATTCTAAATAGGTCACTGGAGGAATATCAGTCTTTATGTTCTCACAGAGTTTCTGTAAATCTTGGAGTTTAGTCAGTGAATTTATAAGAGTTAAAGATGGCCCCTCTGTTGTAGTGAGACGGAATGTATCTAAATTAGTCTTGATATTTTCAATTTCGGTCATCACTTTCTGTCGAGTTTCTGTCAGTTGTGATTCATTATTGTTAAAATGGTCTTGAATTTCTTTTTGTCTCTTCGCACTTTTTTTTTTCAATTCACCAATAATTGTCATGGTTTTTTGATTGATTTTGGTACAGGCTTCATCACAAAACGATTTGAGAGTTTCAGATGTTTCTAACAATGCTGCATGAGTTTCTTCCAAGTCTTTAATTTTGTTTTTAATGATTTGTTCAAGTTTTGAAATGTCTTCGGCTACAACTTTTCTTGTAGAATCAAATTCTAAATCTAATCTTTGATGATCGTTATGATCTTTTAAAATACATTTAGAACACAATCCTAAATTACAAGTTTGACAATAATATTCTACCTCCTTTTTACTGTGATTTGGACAATGATGTTTTGGTTTAAGACTAGCTGAGGGTTGGGTTGTAAGAGAATTCGTCAATGTTTGTAAAGCAAAATTTGTAGCTAACTTGTCGACACCACCTTGTGGAATTGTAACATCCTGTTTACAAAGTGGACATGGAAATGTCCCCCTTCTACCTTCAATACAGCTCACCAAACACTTGAGACAAAACGAATGTCCACACGATAAGATTTTGGGGGTTATGAAACTTTCGTAACAAATACAACATTCCAGATCGGGATTATTTGGTAAAGCAGCCGCCATGATAAATTGTTAAAAAAGTTTTTATTTCATATCTTCCACAGATAAACAGAATGATTTCACTATGTTATGGTATATTATCTTTCACTAGAAATATTGAAATATAGTTATATATACCTTCCACAGACAAACAAAATGATTTCACTATGTTAT